GTCACTTGCAAAGGCTAACACTGAGTCCAAGCTTCATATAAATACAGAAATATCTGATTGCTTTATTGCTTAAATTTGCTAACTTTTGAGAGCAATGTCATGGAGACTAAGAAAAGGAAGATTCTAGGATTATTAAACTTGCTAAAGATTTTCACTAGTTCTCAAATTATTTTTGAAATGATCACATTTGGAGACCTATCCTGTGAGATGTTTCCACCTGTTATAGCCCATGAAATGGCCATTTCAAATGACTCCAGGAGGTAGATCCTACTCTTGCTAGATAAAACCTCCCACAGGACTTCGATTGCTTTAGGGTAATTTACCTGGACCTCTTTACTTATCAATGAATGTCCCAGTGCTCAAGGAATGTAGTAAGAATTATTTTTCATTTTTTATAAGGAGAAATTAAAAACATTGAGAAGGCAGAACTGGAGTACATTTCCTCTGGGTTGTAGGTCTGTTCCTTTTTCTCCTATCACAATTCCATCAATTCTCTTGCTAATATTTTCTAATTTCTTTCTTAGTTCTAAAGATTTTCTTCTAATTTATCCCACCCTCAAATCCCCTGTCCTTCCAAATAAATTGATTTCCTACTGTCATTCCCGGGTCTTTCCAGTCAACATCTGAATTTACATCCTCCTCATTTCTTCTACGTCATGGCTTCTTCCTCATAAAATCATAATGGGGGGGAGGGGAGTCTGCCACCCATGCAACACTGGCTGAGTGGAATATCTGATAAATTCTCAAAGCCGTCCAGTTTGACAGTAGCTAAATTCTGTATCCATATAGCCTGATGCCTTTAAAAAAAAGATTGTATTTATTTATTTTTAGAGAGTGGGAAACTGAGGGAGAAAAAGTGAGAGAGAAACATGGATTGGCTGCTTCTTGCATGCGCCCCTACTGGAGATCTAACCCACAACCCAGGCATGTGCCATGACTGGGAGTCAGACCAATGACCTTTTGCCTTATAGAAGGACACCCAACCAACTGAGCCACACCGGTCAGGACATAACGTCCTTCTCATTTATCACACCATTCTGATTACCTTCAGGGGTTTTCAACCTTTTGGCATCTCTAGGCCACACTGGAAGAAGAAGAGTTGTCCTGGGTCACACACTGAATACACTGCAACACGTAATCACACAAAAAAATCTCATGATGTTTTAAGTAAATTTACGATTTTGTGTTGGGCCCCATTCACAGCCATCCTGGGCTGCATGTGCCCCGCAGGTTGGAAACCCCTGCTAATTCCAGACCCTTTGGAGTTCTTCGCCGCCACCACCACTTTTGAATCTTTCTTCCAGTCTCCTGACATTATGACAATTTTCTAAGCTTGCTGAAGGGAGGGTGGTGCCCCCATGTCATGATATTCGAAGTCCTCTCATATACCCCCCAATCTTTTCCCTAATTCTGGCTCCCACCTGCATTCTATTCTAACTTAATATTTACGCTGCTTACCCGGCATTTCCCTACTGCTCACTGGAGAAGGCATTGCTGTAAAGTTGTCTAGATGGTCAAGGACCTCACAGGACCATAAGCCTGGACCTAAATTTTAGGCCTAATTGGAGGATAAGGACATTCCACAGTTGTACACAAGCATGTTTCCATTTCAGCTTAGGTTACTAATATAAAATGTAGCCATTTTTTAGAGAAATGCATTGTGTTTTGGGTCACCTCATCTTCAAAATCCATTTAACTGGCTTATTTCAGATTTTTTATTAGGACCAAACAAAAACTATTGAAGACTAGAAAACAGAAAGCATATATATCATGATCTTATTGCAAGTTGGCTTCTCAACCTGCATACTTGAAATGAGCATCATTAGTTGAGTTTAAATACAATAGAGATATCAGCAAATTTGAACAGCTAGCCACACAGGAAAAGATGTTTAAACAAGCTTCCAAAAATCAGTAACCAGAGGGACATTTGATGCAGCATTTGGTGAGCAACACAGATCAAATGAAGAATGGTAGTTAAACATGGCAATGACTAATGATAAAATAATGATAAACTATCCATTGCTTAAACATCTATGTGTGAGAGAAAAGATGACAAGGAGGGCAAAACCTTTTGTGATGAAAGTTCCAGCTGGTGAGGCTGCCACGTGGTTCTGAGCTTCTGCTGAACCCTGATTTGAAGGCTGGCCCTCTCAAAGGTAATCAGCTTGGTTACTTTAGGAAAGTGGTTTGCAGGAGCATTTATAATACAACACACATAGCAATTGGAATAGCCCCTAACCCCTTGTAACTAAATCAAAATTCTCTCCTAAATTGCTGCAGATGATACCAATGTGCAGTCATAATTGAAAGCCACAGCTCTTAAGAGGTCTGGTGACTTTGTATTTTGAGGGTGGACAAGGAAATCTGGTTTCATTTCAGGATGGTGGTCTAAGTATATCCTACACCTTCTTCATTTTGCAGCAAGGGCCTCAACTGATGATCCTAAATAAGTGAAAATTTCAGTGAACCAGAAACCTGGATAGATCCTAAGGTATGGGATGTAGGCTGGATTGATGTAAAAACAAAGTCTCCTCTAAAATGTTCACAGAAGACTGTTGTAACAAAGGTGAAGGGAGCTTCATCCCAAAGGTGGTAAATACCAGAAGGAGGGGAATATCAAGGACTATCAACATGTAGGTCCTTGGGACGCCACTGCAGGAGGGGCCAGAGATTCCTCTTCCATTGGTGCCCTTTCATGTACCCTTGAGCCAAACTGCAGTGAGAGTGTCAGCCTCCAGGTAGGACTCGTGACCAGGGAGCCCAAATTAGACAGGCATGGCCATGTGTCACAGGATGGCCATTGCCAGAGGAATGGGGTACCAGAACCGAACACCTCCTAGAAATCTCACCCAGTGACATCCTTTCTCACCGTCACTGAGAACAGGCCAGAGGACAATTCAGACCAGTGATATCCCCAGGCAGATGACACCCACTGACAGAGAATGCAGTCTAATGGAGAATCTCAACCACATGGTAATGGAAAAAAAATACAATACAAAAAATTAAAAAAAAAAATTACAGAGTCAAGACCATCACACAGCTGAAGAAGATCAACACTACAAAAGATGACAAACTCAACGGATGAACAAACACCCAATGAAAATAAATAATAGAACAAGCAAAGCAGGAATTAAGTCTAGGGTAAGTAAATTTTTCTGATACATATGTGAGGATATAGCAGTCACCAACAAATCAACCAGAAGACATGGAGGTTAAAATTTGATTCTTACAATAAAAAACTGAATAAGCAAATAGAATTGATTTATTTTCTGAAATTTAATTTTATTTCATGAAAACTAATGTATGCCTTATAACCTAGTGCCTAGTGATAGTTCATAAGTTTAGTAGTTCATTTTTTTGGAAAGCACATAATAATATTCAAATAAGAGTTTATAGGAAGTATTTTGAAAAATGAAAATTTTTTGTATTCTTTTAAAAAGACTTGGTCCATTTTGAAAAATCATCAGTGAATAAAAAATAAAATCAAAAGAAAGAAAAATAAGTTTTTCCACAAAATACATTAAAAAATACTTGCTGGTATTTGTATTTAAGTGTGTAGAGTAAAATGGACCAAATTTACAAAGGCAATTAATAACAGCTTGTATAAGGACTTGTTTCATTTTCTTTAGCACCAAGAAGAATAAAAGGAAATACATCATTTAGGATATAGTCAAGTTTCTCCTCCGCCTCTTACATTGCCCCACTCCTCCTACCAGGCCACAGTACATAAGCATGCCTCCTCCTAACTCCGGTAAAGAATCTCAGGCAATGATTTAAAAATGACTGCTCAGATTATATACATTGGCAGGATATTTTCCCCTTTAGATAGGATGTCAGTGAACACTAGCAGGTATCAACCTCTTTAATCAGAAATAAAGAACTCCACTTTCAGCAAACTCATTTACTTTCCTGGTCCTCTTTATCCTGTCACATAAAAAGCCTTTTTATTGCTACATCTGTTTACTAATTATGACTATTTTTTTGTTAAGGAAATTTTCCCCCAGGCATACCTATTTCTATTTTCTAGTAACAAATTATTAAAGTTTAAAAAAAACTTGCACTGTCACAAGTTTTCTTTCATTCATTCTTCTTTTTTGAATACTTTAATTTGTTACTCTTCAAGGCACATTGTACATTGAATAGAAAAAAGAACTGGCAAGTCAATCTTAAAGCACACTTTTCTTAATCTAAGTAACTTCTGAGGACATGACTTAATTACATTTTCCATTAAAGAAAATTCATTCAGTTTTGGTGCTTAACCAAGAACTTGTAACATTAATTTCTACCAGGTTATATCCCCAGTGCACATGTATTTTCGAAGGAAAACAAGTCATATCAAAGTAATCCTTTCCTAAATGCCATTTGATACATTTTTATAGCAAATTGAAAATTCTGAGTCAACTGAAGTTATGTTTAACAACAAAATAAATATAGCTTATAAGCCCACCTTATGGGTTTTTTAGTTTAAAGGCAACAGTAAATTTGCATTCTGCAATGGATCTGTAAACCCAGTTACTTTTATCCAGAATCTTATGGACATAGCATCTCACAAAACCATGTCCAATATGCTAGTTTCGCCCCCCCCCCCCCCCCCCGCCGCCCCCGTATCTGGCTATGCAAAAACCTTTGATGAGATACTTTGTCCAAATTAGTATAATTTTTTTTTATTTTCCAGGAAAATGTGGAAACCTTATCAAACATTCTTACTGAACAAAAGTTAGATTACTATCAATGGCTCTGTTAATTTTGCTCTAAAATAATTTTTTAAACTCTAGACATCTCTGATGTTTCTGAATTACACACAGAAGATAGCTGGATGAAATACACTAGACAATTTCAAAAGATAAATTTTAGTATATGACTCATTTGGCATATCTTTACTACCTGGAATAAAATCCACAGAAATGAAAATAATGTAATTCTCAAAAAGTTCATACATGGTGGAGTCTTAGGATGAGGAACTTCTAAATGAAAGAAGGTGGAGATTTTCATCTTGCTAATTACAAGCATTTTTCCTCATGGGGATGCTGGCTTATTTGTGGAAGTTTTGTTTGCAGGCAAGCATGTATATAGGGCCAGAGATTGCTGGTTTCCGTTCCAGAGAATGTTTCCAACACCCCCTTTTTCTGGTAATATTCCAGGACCGGTTTTGTTTGGTCTTCATAAGCCTTTAGTCTCTTGATAAGAGTCTCTGGTCTGTCATCCTCACGCTTAATGAGAGGCTCTCCAGTCAGATCATCCACACCTACCACTTTGGGAGGGCTGAATTCAAGGTTGTAGACGCGACCACTGGCTGGATGAATCCAGCGAGCAGCGAGGCGTTGCATGATGACCTCAAAGGGCACGTTCAGGTTCATCACCAGGTGTATCTGATGAACTCTATTCAGGGCTTCAGCTTGTGGGAGAGTCCTGGGGAAACCACACAACAACCAGCTATACTGAGTGAGATTTTTCAGCTCCTGAAATGCCAGCCGAATCATGATGTCATCTGGAATGAGCTTCCCCTGGTCCATGAAAGCCTTGGCCAGTACACCAATTTCTGTGTCCCTCAGCACATTGTCCCGGAGCAGGTCCCCGCTGGAGACCTTCTTTAGCTGGAAGTGTTTGATGATGAGCGATGAGAGGGTGTGCTTGCCGGAGCCTGGGGAGCCCATGATCACGGCGCGTAGGAGCTGCCTACAAGTCCCCATGGCTGCCCAGCCAAGCCCAGGCTGCGGTAACGGTTGGGCTCCCACCTGGCCTGTGCGCTCCCGGGCTTCCCGGCTGGAATCCCGGGGCGGCGCCTCGAGGACACATGCTGAGAGTGAGCAACCTGCAATGGAAATGGATTTTTAAAATGGATGCTACCAAAGAGCCGATTTGTAAATTCAAAGACTGAGCCAAAGAATTCTCCCATAATGCAGTATAAAGAGCTGAAGAGATGGCAAGTAGAAAAGGAAAATTAAGAAACATAAAGCACAGATTCAAAATTTCCACCATTCATAAGTAGAAAATGGAGAGGATGGAGGGTAGAGTATTTCAAGAAATAATTAAATGGACAAGAATTTCCCAGAATTAAAGAATGATGTGAGTTGCAAGAATAGACAGCGAAATAGTCCAGAGCATGTAGAAGCAAATGTTGGCAGAGATGAGGGGAAATCGGTTTCTCACACTCCACTGGTGAGGTGCCCCTGCTGCTAGTTTGGAAGGCAACTTGGTAGTGGCTATTTTTTTTAATTGCTTTTCAGTATCTTCCTTAGATAAACACTCTCATAAAGCAACAAGAAAGCGCATATAAGATGTTCACTTCAACTTTATTTATAGTAGTGAAAATTGTTAACAACCTAAGTGTCCACTAATATGAGAATGGCTAAACGAATCTTAGCCATACTGTAGAATATTACCCAGCAGCCAAAAAGACAGAGGCAGATTTCTATGTGCTAACATGAAATGATTTCTAAGACATTGTAACTGCAGACTTGCAGAATGATAAAATTTAAGTTCAGTTTGTGTTCAAGTGTCATGTAACTTATGTTTAAATATACCTATTAAGTGAGCTGGGAAGCCAACTTTCAAGCAGTGGCAAGATATGACTTGAGTTTTATTTTTAAAAAATTGTGTGTCTGCATGATTGGAAGCAGAGGAAGCTGTTAGGAGGCTATTTCAACAGACCAGCAGACAGAGAAGAAAGTAAGTACTATTTTAATTAAATTTCTCCAATATGAGTGAGATTGAGCATCTTGTCATTTGTTGTTGGAAAATTTGCATTTTATTTCCATGTAAAATTCTTCAGTTGACAATTATGGGCTTCAATTACTTCCTAGGAAAAATGTTTTAGGTTTTGTTTACTCCACAAGTTGTCAAACAGGTCCTTCCCTTTGCCTTGGAGCTGCCAGTTGCACTAGCTTAATACAGCATCAGGCCATGCAGCGCACAGTGCTCATGCTAATTAGGGGCTGCTGAGCCACCAACCCTGCATCCACTTCATTCTCTTCCGTTCATGAGCCAATTCATTTCTTAAAAAGATCCATAAAAATAATCTGATGGGTTGTTCTCATTCTATAAACAAGAGCAAAAGTTATTTCCAGAATAAGGATTTGGAGAGGAGAAGCCTAATTTCTGTATTTGTATTTTCTGGCAGCAGAGTAGTGCTGCTGCTCTAATTTCTCAGACTTCTTTTTTATTGTTTCTTCTATTTTTGGCCTTTAAATAGTGGTATAATCTCTCTTATTGTTTCTGTACTCAAAAGAGTTATACTGAATACCTAAGATGATTCAAAAGGTAGATGCATATTGGATAGAAATTTGGCTCACATCCTACAGCAAAGGAAAAAAAATGATGTTATAATTTGAAACAGTATTTTTAATAATACTAATTGATATGCATAATAAAGCAGCACACTATTACTGTCTTTTAGGATAACTAATTACATACACAAAAAAGAATCCCACCGAGGACTTTCTATCCTGGATAGATTTAGACTTCTAGTATGTTTAACCTTTACTTCAGGAATCTAATTTGGTACCAAACTCTGATCCCAGAATATCCCAGAGAGCTTCTGCAGAGGGTGGGTAGGTAGCATTTGCTCTCCCACTCACACCCAGAGCCGAGCAAATGCTACCTACCCACCCTCTGCAGAAGCTCTCTGGGCTCCCGAGGGGCTCAGCGCGGACACTTGCCACACTGGCCTCCTGGTACAAGTCAGACTCCTAAGCACAGAGTCATTTCTGGTTCCTGAGACCACCTCGCCCCTTCCCCCTCTTTTCTAGACTGATGTCACATAAGCTGTTTGGGACAAAGTATTATGAAACTTGTTCTTAATAGCAGCTGATAAGGGATTCTTTGACAAAAAACAAACATAACCAGTAGCCAGATAATATCATCTTATATATTTGCCCTCATTGAGTAATAATAATAATAATAATAATAACAACAACAATAACATCTAATGCCAACCTGAAAGCTCAATGAAATTTTCTACATATTTCTTTACAGTAACAGAAGCCAAACGACAGAGCAATAAAAGAAAAACAGCAGGAGCTACTCCGATTAGTCCTAGTGTTACATTACTAATCATTTTGAGATGAACATTTTCATCTTAACTTATAAGTTAACTTATTGCTCACTCTCTAAGGGAGAGTTAGCCATTTAGGGCATCCAAGGAGACAAAGCTAAGATCCACAAGGAGGATAGCAGGTGAGATATTCATTCACAGACTCAGCCAACCATCAGTGGGTATTTACCTGCATGGCTAGTGGTTTTGAGCGGAGGGGACAAAGCCCATGAGAAAGACTGAAGCCTAGTGTCTGTTCTCATGATGGTGACCTTCTAGCGGGGGCATTAAGGGCCAGCGTTGCCCCAGTGATCCTCTGGGGAACGAACGTGAGATGATTTTAGGTCTCTGCCAAAGAACGTTCCCCTCCCCTACCCTCAGGTTTGATAAGTGTGCTTTATTTCAGTTGTTACACTATTTAATTATGGAAATTTCAAAGATATATAAAATTGGAGAATGGTATAGTCCCACATACTCATCTCTAGTTTCAACCATGGTCAACATTATGCCAATTTTATTCTACCTGATATTTTTTTTCTGGAGTATTTTCCAGTCATGTTTTACCTTATTTCTTTTTTCCTGGAATATTTTAAATAATGCTTTTTAATTTTAATGATGAATGTGTATATTTGAGTGTGTATGTTTGAATGCGTATAAGAAAAATATAACTAGCTCATCAACCTAATACTTCAGGTATTCTTGCTCAGGACAAAATTTAACTATAAATTTAAGTTTTCAAACAGCTATGCAGATAGGGAACAGTTCAACAAAGGAGTACATAAATGACTAAAGTTTATGAACTATTGTTAGAGGAAACAAGAGATTAAGAGGAGGTAGTAGATATTCCCTTTTATCTTCCCTCCCTCAGTGAGGTTAGGATGGTTGTAAGAAATTCCCCCTCTCTAGAAAATGTTTAGCACCATGCCTGGACTTAATAAGCACCTACAAAAGACGAGGTAATAATGTTGGGAGACATCTTTGAATCCAGGAACTGATACTGGCTGACATTTATTAAGCACCTACTGTGTGCAGATACTGTGATAGGAGATTTATATGTATTATCTCATTTCCTCTTCACAGTCACACTATGAGGAGATGTTATGATCCTCATTCTTGGCATTAAAAAAATGAGGCTCAGAGAAATTAAGTAATTTAAAGTCAAAACTCTATTACGTCACAGGGCTAGGACTTGAGTTCAAGCCTGTCTTCCTCTAAGTCCACGTTGTTTTCCACTCAGCTCCCCAGACAGCCAGGGCCCGTTTCCCAACCACCAGGAGGCAGCTGGCGAAAGAAGTACTTTAGTGGAGTTTGCAGGCCTGGTGTAACCTGATTCTTCCATTTGCTGAGATCATGACCTTGACCATTTTGCTTCCCTTTTCCTGAGCCTCTGTGTCATATGCATAAAATAAGGACAATAATACTAGTTGCTCAATATGCAAGCACAAGGAGAAATAATTTATATGGAAATCTGACATTGTAGGCACCAAAGACTGGTACTCTATCTGAAGGCCCTAACAAGGCCTGTGACCTTAAACTATTCCCTTCCTTGCAAAGATGATGGAGCTGGCCCTTCAAGTCCTGCTGGGGGTAACATTCCAGAATTTATTAGCCTGAACCTCAGCTACTATTACTGACTCTGAGGGTAATGGACATGACTAGATGAACTTCCACTCAGTGTGATTTTATTTATACTTATTTATAATTGTCTTCATCTGGATTCCTTAGAAAGCAGAGCGGGACAGCGCTCTTGCTGCTGTTTGTGAGGAGTGCAATCCCGAGGAGCAGAAGCCAGAGACGCAGCAGTGAGGCGGGGAAGGAGGGAGGGAAATCTGAGCAGGCACCACTGAGCTGGTTGCCACTAAGTGCTCCTGTTTGTCCTGTCTCAGAGAAGCATGCTCTGAAAAGCTGCATCTTAGGACAGACTGTCTAGAGTGAAAAAAGGAACAAATTTTTCTGCCATTTGGCAACATTTTGACCATGAGATGTTAATTCCTCTGTAATTTTGGGTTGTGCAATTCTGGACTCTGGAGCAAGGTTCCCCATGTCCCTGGGTGGTTCACAGGGAAGCCCAGGGTGGGAGGCGAGAGGCGTGTGGTATTGGCATGAGGCCGAGCTCTGGGAGGGTGCGCCTGTAAGAAGCAGTTGGAGCTCATGGCCGTGATGGCATTTGGAACAAGAGACAGGTGAGGCTGAGCAGACCTGAAGTTGCATAGGTGTGTGATACAACACTTATACCCAATCAACTTCCAAACAGAATCTGAAGGGGCCTACTGAAGGGGCCATAAAATAAGGATGATAATAAAAGAGGAAATAATCTATAGAAATGAAAAAGAAAAAAGACCTCAGTTTTTTATTCTGAAAAAAGAGGGTAATAATAATACTTACCCACAGGGTTGTTGCAGTGATGGAATGAATTCAAGAAGTTAATATTTATAAAGCATTTAAAATATATATGACATATAAAAGCCACTATGTAGATGTTTGTTTTAAAAAATAAAATACTAGCTACATGAGCTTAGATGGCTTCTGCAACTGAGCATTAAATTTATCTCTAAGCTTCTAGCAGTTAAGGGAAAAAAAGGAAATATGGTCAAAATGAACCTGCTAATTCTGGAAGAAAGCTGAGAATTTACCTGGCATGAAAACCTAAAGGGAATT